TCTGGCTGGTGGCCTGGTGGTTAAGGCAGCTGCATCCCAGATGGCCGGGCACGGGCACGGGCATGGGCACGGTCCTGGCCCTGGCAGTTTGGGACACGCCGGGCACCTGTGTGTGCATGCCCAACTCCAGTGGGTGGAGACGGGGATCGCAGCGTGACCATGCCACATGGGCGCTTTCTCCTGCCCCCCTCCCGCGAGGGCACACACCTGGTGGTTAGTGAACAGAGAACATCGTGGGTTTTTTTAAGGAATTATTTTATTTAACTTTGTTTGTTTGTTTATTCTAATTTGATCCGGGGGAGGAGGAGGGAAAGTGAGGAAAGAAGCTGCCAGGTCTAGGACTCGAACTGCAGTTGGCCATGTGGGAGTCCAGTGCCCTTAAGCACCACGCCCCCTACCAGCCCGGAGAGCATCGTATTTAAACCACACGGTCCTCCCAACTCGGGAGGTTTTTCCTCTTGGGAGTTTGGAGGAACCCTGGCTCGTTTGCTTGCGGCCAGGTGAGGGACTGTGGCCCGGGGCCTGCAGTGTCCGTGCGCCGGGCGGGTCCCAGAAGGCTCTGACGCCTGGCCTGTCCCCGCAGCGTGTCGGCTACCTCGCTGCCTCCCAGTGCTTTCACGAGGGCACGGACGTGATTATGCTGACGACCAACCAGATCCGCAAGGTAGGCCACTCCCCCGGCCGCAGTGCGCTGCCCTGGTCACCGTGACAGCCTGGCCCCAGCCGGCCCGATGGGGACAGGCCAGAGGGTCCTGGCGCAGGGTCGTCCACCCAGAGGACAGAGCAGGGTGCACTCTGGCCCTCGGTGGTCCGCGAGGTCCAGGGTGGAGCTCCCCCATTGCACCCAGGTCTGCGCCCGGGCAGGCCTCACCGCCCTCCCCTGCTGTGGCAGTGCTGCACCTGCACGCTCTGTGCACTGGAGCCTGGCCACTGGCTCTCGGTGGCATGGCCAGCTGGCCCAGGTCTGCTCCTGGGCAGGCCTCACCGTCCCCCCCCTGCTGTGGCAGTGCTGCACCTGCACGCTCTGCGCACTGGGGCCTGGCCACTGGCTCTCGGGTGGCATGGCCAGCTGGCCCAGGTGTCTGTAGGCCTGGCATTCTGGAACCGTCTCTGGGGCCCTCGAGTAGTGTCCCTTCGGCCCAGTGCGCGGCGCCCCTTCCGTTTCCCTGCTGCTTACTGAGAGGCCTCCCTGTCAGTGACCCACTTGCATTTCCCACGAGTGTTTGAGGCCTGAGCGACTTCGTGGCCTCAGCAGCATCCTCTGAGTTGGGCAAGGCCCGTGGGCCTTAGGCCTGGTGTGAGAGCCTGCGGGGGGCTGTGCCGGGCTGCCGCCGGCTCCCACCTCTGGGCCGCACTGGGAGTCGGGTGGCTTGGTGACTGCGAGCCCGGCCTGTCCCCAGGGAGCCTCCGCTCCTCTGTCTAGACGCGCCCGCCTCTTCTGGGCCCCCCTTGGTGTCAGCCGGCCCTCCGCGCCTCCCCCAGCCTTTACCCCGGAAACCAGGTGCAGCTGCGAGCTGAGCATGACACGGCCGGCCGCCTGAGCACCCCTCCCTTCCAGGACCTGAGCAGTACCAGCCAATACGACACTGGCGTCGCGCTGACTGGCCTCTCCTGCTTCGTCACCCCGGACCTCGCCAGAGACTTGGCGAACGACATCATGACGCTGGTGAGTGTGGGTGAGCCCCTGTCTGGGAGGCGCCTAGCAAACTGAGCTCAGGTGTCCCGCTGGGTCGTGCAAGGGCACGGCCGGGCGCTGCTGGCCGTGGGGTGTACCTGAGCCCCGGCCCCACCGTGTCTGCAGGGCGGGCCTCGCGGGTGGCCCGGCTGACCGAGCCCCTTGACCCAGGCGGGTGACAGTGGTGGCCTTCTGCACGCCCCGTGGCTTCTCCCCGCACTCAGGCTTCATGCCCGGCACTGGCCCCACTCCTACCCTGAGGCCTGAGGACGTGCTCTGGACAGCCCCGTGGCCCCCTACCCGGGCCGCTGTCTGGGACTCGGCGAGCGCTCTCCCTCTCTGCCACGGGCACAGCGTGGAGGCTCACGTCCCTGTGACCAGCCTGCGGAGTGGGAGACTGGGACCCGAGCCAGCCAGGCACTCGTGGCTGAGTTTGAGGAGCCAGCGGGGGGCTTCCCTGCAGGTGGGGCTGTGAACGCTGGCCGGCCCCTGAGGCGCTGCCCCCAGGCTGAGCGGGGGCTGTGCTCCGCAGGGCCGAGGCCGGGGCTGGGTGCTCCCCTCTGCCTTGCATCCTGCCGGCCACAGGCAGCCGGCCAGGGCTGTTCAGCAGGCCGGGTTTCCCTGAACCACATTCCCTCCAGGCCTCCCGTCCTACCCCAGCACTGCCGGGCACAAAGCCAGGAGGGAGGAGGGCCTGGGTCGGGCACGCTGTGGATCCCACCCGGAGTGTCTGTGTCCCGGGCTGCTGGGCAGTGCTGCAGGCGGCAGGCCGAGGCCTCGAGGCTGGGTTGGGCTCCCCCAGCGGGTGGGAGCGCGGGGCCGGCCCGGTGTGGCGGCTGACTCGCTGTCCCGCAGATGTCGCACACGAAGCCCTACATCCGGAAGAAGGCCGTGCTGATCATGTACAAGGTGTTCCTCAAGTACCCCGAGTCGCTGCGCCCCGCCTTCCCGCGGCTGAAGGAGAAGCTCGAGGACCCCGACCCCGGTGTGTGGTCTGAGCTAAGGGGGCTACCAGCGCCCCGGGGAGACTGGGGAGCCCAGGGAGCCCCGGGCGCGTGGCCGCGGCCCGGCCGGCAGAGCAATGGGGGCCGAGCGTTCGCAGGCGCCGCCAGCACAAGGCAGGCGGGCTGCAGGGTGTCCCCCCGCTCCCCGCATAGCCTCCGCCGTGCTAGCCATCCAGGGTCTCGCG